TTTCGTAATTGTATATTTCGCAATATTGCGAAAGTTTTTACGTAATATTACGGTTTTCTTACGCTTCGTAAATTATTTCACAATATTACACCCTATTAAATTTGCTGATGAGATTTGTCACCATCAAATTCATCATTTTTGTCAGATTCTTCATTTTTGTCAAATTTTTTATTTTTGTCGGATTTTTTATTTTTACTAGATCCTTCACTTTCACTGTCTTTGTCAGACTCCTCTCTTCATTATTAGAATTCTTTATTTCACTTTCACCCAATTCATTATTATTTGAATTTTCTTCATTCTCATCAGCATAGATCAAATCATCTTCATTTCTTGACAAACAATTAGAAATGCCATATTTTTTGAATGCCCGGACAATAATGTTTTCAGAAATATCATTCTAAGTATTCAAAACCCAATGACATACTGTACTCAGATTGGCATGCTTCAAGTTTCCTTTCTTAGTAATACTATTGCCACCATTTGCCATCTACGTATGCTAATATTTGCGAAGTTTATTCTTGAAAGATTTGTTGATACAAACATCAAGAGGCTGATACAAACTTGTAAGGCCCCGGGAATAACAGCCAAATCTGTATTTTCTAAATAAAACTCAGCCTTAACCTGGTCTGTAATATGAGCTAGAAAAAAATCAAGAACTAACATTGTTCTTAAATTGCATGGTTCTGATTGCATATTATTCTAATACTTTACTCATTTACTCATTTTCAGTTTGTCTATCTATCCTTTCTCTTGGAACCAAACTAGTGCACCAGCCAGAAGTTGTGGTGCATGAACTGGCCAAGTCTTTTCTTTAAAGATAATAACAGGCAGTAGCTTTCTACCATTAGCAAGGCATGTCAAAACTACAGTAAATCTATTTTTATCATTTTCAGTTGTTTGAATATGAACAGTTTTTGCATCTTTGGGATTCACAGTTAAGCCACTTGTCATATTAAACCAAACCGGAGTCTCATTCATATTCACAATCATTCTAAAGAGATAATTATTTTTTTGACAAAGGTGAATAACAAATTGCTGAAAATTAAGTAACTAATTTTTAAGATCTTCTAATAATTTTTGTACAATTTTGGTTCTATGGCGAAAAGAAAGATTGTAACATTTTAAAAACTGATTAAGCCAGTGTGCTAAGAGCTTGAACTTTTCAACTGCAAGCTTTTTAGACCTATCATTTGTTTTTTTTAGCACTTTTATCCAAGATTTCAGCTATTTTTAATTTTATATTAGGATAAATGACTGCAAGACCATTCTGGTAAATCGTCATTATCCATTCATAAAGTTGTATCTCTTTTTTAGGAAATAGAGCATGATGTCCAAAACCAATACTTCGTATATCTTTTTAAAGATGAAAAAGAGAAGGATCTTGAGAAAATGCCTTAACCCAGCAGCCAAGCATTGTTAAATCCAGAGAATAGAGCTGTGCTATATGTAAATTTGAAGTATAGCAAGCTAATTTCACTGTTTTACGCTTTTCTTCAACAGTATATGAATTTCTTTGCCTGTTTATAATAATTTTAAGAAAAAAAAAAAGGAAAAACTTAGTAACAAAAAATCCTTTTCTTTAAAGAAAAAAAAAGTGAGAGTAAAGCTAGCTTTGGCAGATAGTTTTTTTTTTAATACTATACTTGGCTGATAAAGGTTTTTTTTTTCTATTAGTTATTAGATAGTTTATTTAAAGCGAAGAAATAACTTTTTATAATAATCTATTAGATGGATAGATTTTTTGAGATAAGCTAAAACGTATGTTAGACATGTGGGTTTTTAAATTAAGTTGGTTTAAAATAAAATATAACAGACTAACATGAAGTTTGTTCCAACATGAGGTCAATTAGTATTTTTAATCATGCGAATTTTAAATACTAATTAACCTTATGTTGGAAACTAACCTCATATTGGCCCTTTACAAAAAAGACTAACCAAACAATTCTAAGACTTTTGTACTTTAGTATCAAAAATAGAATTGACCCCAACTATTTACAATAGCATTATAGAACAATACAAAGCAATAAAATATTGAAATAACACATGCATTAAAAACTAAAACTGCTATATATGAAAACTTAAATTTTTAGTATGCACTATATATACCTTAATCTAGTTTAATCAGGTCAACTAACTTTCATTTATAACTCAAAAAGGCCATCAATTTTGATATGATATAAATATTTATATATATACTGTAATTTCAAATATTTATTGTGTATGAATTTATTAGTCAATTATTTACTATTACTGGTAAAAATCTTGTATTGGTAACTAGGTTAAACTGTAAATAAAAAAAGTTTGTGCATTTATTTTTTTTTAAAAGTAAATACCCAATAATAAGCTATTTTATCATTAAGTATAAATTTCTTAAAGTTATAAACCCTCTGAAAATAAGCTACCCTATTTTTTAAGTTTGAAATTAGCTCAAAAAAGGTAGCTTATTTTCAGGAATATATAGTAACCCAGATTTGAGGGACATCTAAAGCGGAGGCAAATCATGTGATCAATGGATTTTGGGCTAAAGATCACTATAGATCTTTTCTGATCTAATTCTGGAGCCAAAATATTCAATTTCTTTAAACTTCTAGCGAAGATTTCTCAGTAACAATTTGATCAAATTGAGTAAAGCTTTTTTATTTTGATTATATATATTTGTAAAATTAAAATAAAAAAAAGTTCATTGAATTTGGTTTAATGGTCGTCGAGAAACCTTCTCTAGAAGTTTTTAAAAAGCTTGAAATATCTTGAAAAAAAAATTAAAATTGGCAAAATTTTTACTTTTAAAATTTTAAACGATGATTTCTCAACAACCATATATCCAAATT